GAGAACCCGCTCCCTCTGTAGATAAAAACTGACCACATCCTGCAGCGTGGACCCGACACATATCCAATGTGTGGTTCCCTGCCAGCTCTCAGTAACTGGATTGGTATCCCATAATTTAAATCTGTGAGGAGTATGATCTAGTTTTTTATTTAAAGAATAATCTTTTTTAATTTGTCTCATTTTAATGGAGGTAATAAATTAAGAACCTCTATTTTTACCAATATATAACTGACTAGAAATAATCTCGTCAGCGACTGTCTGCCAGAGAACCTCACTTTGGCATCATTAAGTACCTTTTTTTCTGAGAGTGCTTTTCACTTCACGACAGTCAATAACCCCTTAAATCATCGCAGCCGGAGCGCCGTGAGGCTGCAGAGAGGCGCTTGCAAATCATCAAGGTGTTAAGAAATGTTGATGGGGAAGAAAATTACACAGAGGAGGCGTTGAAGATGCCAAGTCTCTTTCATTGGGGACCTGTTTTCATGTCAAAATTTCAAAATAAAAGCAAGGAAATATGTACTTCTGCGCATTCTCTGACAAAAATAAATCATATTTTATGACTGAACTGAAGATTAAAAGACAGGGAACTGGGTTGGTGATGGAGGGGGGGTCATCAAAGGTTTCACCTCGAAAACATCCCTGTGATCTCGGACAGTTCACAGTACCGATGCTCCATTTAACCCGTTAAAGTCCACAGTGGGTTTTTATAATTCCCTTTACGACAGATCCAACATCAAATGGAATATAATATTCATAGGTTTGTTTTCATTAGAGGTTGTGTTCAGTGGGAGGCTGCTGAGCCCCGTTCAGGTGCAGAGGAAACCAGACAATATTCTCTCCATAAAATATGATCCAGTTTCACCCAAATCACTGATAAAGTTGTGTTTGTACAGTGATAATAAAGTTGTGTTGTGTTTCATTGTTGGTTGGAGGAGTGGGGGACACACAGAGGAACCTTGTTGTAGAAATGACAGAATAAGTTGGAGGGAAAGCTCTGACGTGTCCCCGTAATGAGTCGGCTGCATCCGGCGGCGGCGCTCTGAAGCCACAGATCGATAGCAGAGGAGATGGGTCTGACAAGGTTGACTCACTGAGGTTAAGACAATCACAGCATTTTTCAATCTGCAGGCCGGAGCTCACTGATCTTTACAATGGGACGGGGACTCTCCTCTGTTCCAGCTGTCCCTCTGCTGAGCTCTCTGTCTTCAGTATAACTGTGACTGAATCATTCTCACTCCTGTCTGTCCGTCCACTCCGAACTGATGGAGTCACTGACAGTGGGTCCTGTTAGAGCATCATATCATACTGTACGCTGCATCAATGGGATCACAGATCGATGAACTTCAGGGTGTCTCCTTCATCCTCTGCAACGTGCAAACAGCAGCTAGCATTCTGCTACCATCTTATGAGATGTAGCCTAACTATCTAGCAGCTGAAGTAGGTTCACCAGTTAAAGCGGTGGTTCAGCGCTCCTCTCTTGTGCAGCACGGTGCTTTTCATTTGAGCAGTTTTTAGAAGAACATAAAAGTTACCACTTCCTTCCTGTTGTGATGCTGGACTGGACTGTGGCTCCACTCACTGCTCGTGAGTCCAACAGAAGGACCGCGGTGTCTTTCCACTCGCGTCCATCAGCACAGAAACAGCACAGACAATCTGGTCAGTTTTCAAAATAAAATACCTTGTGCAGACTTTTCCCGCTACATCAACACATATTAGTGCGAGTACTTTTCCTACGACTCACATATTCTCTTCTGTTCCATAAACTCCAGATTCTGTTTATGATTAGAATAAAATGAATACACACCTGAGACAACCCCTGCTAGCTCTGTTAGCTATCAGTTATCTACATCTCTACCTGTTGTTATTATCCAACTGTACAAAAACATATCAGCTACACTTCTACAAGCCAAAGATAAAGTGTTGGTGGTGGTGAACTGCCCATTCTGCCCCCGTCTGAGCACAGAGGGGCTGAGCTGAACCCGTAAAGCTGACTGACCTCCTCATAAGCTTGACGTTGCTTACATGGATGTCTTAAGGCTTTTAATTTGAAATGATTTGAAATTGTTTTCACATTTTGGTGCCTTAAGAAATATCTTCTTCTGATGTCCTCCTCTCTCCTCTGGTTCTCTGAAGGTTATGGCCTGTAGCTCGGGGCCTAACGCAGCGGGGCCCCTGCGGTTGCACGTTTCCTTACATAAGAGCGACACCTCTTCAGTAAGGAAACATACCATCGACCGGGAGCTGAATGAATGTTCTCCCCCTCCCAGCGTCTCCGAGGGAATATCCTGGTCCTGGTTGGCTTAAAAAAACAAGTTCTTATCGTGGAGAAAGCAGACAGATGGCACCGACAACTGGCAGACGGACTGACAGAGACAGAAATAAAGAAAGAGAGGGAGGAAGGAGCCGGACAGACGGACAGAGGGAAGGCCAGGGGTATGGGTCTCAGAGATAAAAACCCACTGGATGGTGCTACTTGGCCGGGTAGGAGTCTCCCCCGCCCTCCCCCGTCCTCCTCTAAGCCCCTGCAGCTACACGCTCGATAGCTCGGTCCATCTGGGAGGGATTGTTTCTGCTGAGGGATCCTCGGTGCCAGCTTCCTACACCGACTGATCCCCCCCCCCCCAGGATACAGAACGTATCCCATTGTACTGGATCTCCAGGGTGGGGGGGGGGCAGACGGATATACTGTCACAGAATAAATCTAAAAACATTTCCTCAAATGAAAATTAGTAATAAAAAAGGGAATTAACGAAGCTGTGCTCGAACATTTATCCCCATTATACTGAGAACTCTTTAATAAAGGTTGTGATCTGAATCGGTTCGCACAGATTGGCTGTTTTGTTCAGATTATATGAAAAACTTTATTGATCCCTGAGGGGAAACAGTTGCTCCAGTTCACTTTATAAGAAATAGAAATAATAATAAGAACATTAGAATATGTGCATTAAATTACTATATATGTAGAAATAAGAGTGCATTATACTACAGTATATAACAATATATAGAAAATAAGACTGCTAACGTTAGCTCAGCTCAAACTGGATAACAGCTAACAGACTGAGGCTACATTTATAGATTATTGATTATTGATTGAATCATCTACACATAGAACATAGCTCTGGAGTTTATACACTGTTTATTGATTATAGATTATTGATTGAATCATCTACATATGGAACACACTGTAGCTCTACATTTAAAAAAGTTAGAGGAATCCATGAATCATATCATTAACATTCCTTTATTGATCACAATGTAAATAAACAGTAATATACAGTAAAATAACACAAAATGAATAATTTGTTGAAATACAGTAGGGTGCCCAGTTACCTCAGTGGGTAGAGCTGGTGACCCATGTACTGAGGCTGAGTCCCTGCTGGAGCGGCCCAGGGTTCGAATCCGACCTGCGGCCCTTTGCTGTGTATCTTTGGCTGTCACTTTAATAAAGGCAATAAAAGCCCCAAAAAATATTTTAATAAAAACAAAATACAGTAATCTTCTATAATTAAGTTGGCATTATTTGATTTTTCTTATTTATAGAAGTGTAATAAAAGTCATTATCTGTGAGATTACAGTAATTATTGCTGTTTACACTGATAACAACTGTATTTGGACAGTTTACCTTATACACTGATAAACAACATTTATTCAACTTCCATCATTATACAACATATCTGTCAGTTCACTAACTAATACATTAAAGTTACACAACTAATACTTTTACAAAGGTATTAACAGCATTACTGTCTGTCTGTCTGTCTGTCTGTCTGTCTGTCTGCCTGTCTGCCTGTCTGCCTGTCTGTCTGTCTGTCTATCTGACTGCGTGGATCAATATCTAAAGTCTGAATTTGATTCAGTCTGTATGTCTGATTCTGTGCTCCTTCTGTCTGTCTGTATGGCTGTCTGAACTGACTATCTGTCATTAAACATAAGTGGGGATCAATATCTAAAGATCAGTTCATTCAGTTTCCTTTATTGAAACTTCTTTGAGGTGAGTGACCTGATTAACTCAGGTAAAGAGTACACTGATCAACTCAGGTGAGTTTCCTGATGAAACCAGGTGAGTCCTGATGAACCCAGGTGAGTCCTGATGAAACCAGGTGAGTCCTGATGAACCCAGGTGAGCTGTCTGACCCTGACACCAGGACGTAGACCTGGATCTCAGTGTGATTGTGGGTCGTACAGACGTTTTCAGTGTTAGACTGTGATAGGTGGAGTAATGCTGCCCCCTGCTGCCGGCTGATGGTAATAATACTGAACTGTTAACAACAACCGACCACAGCTTTTACTAATATTACCTTCAACCAAACAGACGTCCAAATAAGAGTCAAAGCTTTTCCTCCATTAAATAAAGTATTTTATTACATAAACAGAATACTTTGTGTCACAGCTGCTTTATTCTGTGAGTCCTAATGTTCCTGATGACTCTATATCAATGTTTCTGCTTTAATTAATAAAACTACCAATAATAAAGAGTTCAACAATAGAAGGAACTATTTATTGAGGTAGAGCGGGTCATCCACTCATCAGAAGGTTGTTGGTTCAATCCTTCCCACGTGTCCGGGAACATCTGGACAATCAGAGACCAGTTGTCCCGTCAGCGGCTGTCTGTATGGAACCTGTAAATTTACTGGATGAGCTTTAAAATATGAAGAAATAAACCAACAATTATAAAATAATATCCTGCGGTAAAATCTGCTGAACTATTGTTTATTCTTTATTAACATCTGATTATCATTCATAGGGTGATTTACACGAGCACAAACAAACAAACAAATAAAAAGAACAAATAAATCTAATTTAAAAGAAGATGACTTAATGGCAATTCTTATAGTTTGTAATGTTCTTTATTATTATTCAATAAACACATGAACCAACGCCTCCATTACCTTATTTGAGTTAGTTTGACATGTACACAATATAGTAAAGTGTAGTTGTTATGAGTCTCTCAGGTAATGAGTGTTTGTGGCTGCTGCACTCAGAGTGCTGCTGGCCCTTTAAGACGCTGCCCGTTGCCGTGGTTACAACCAGGAAGTGACAGCGGCTTCTGTGTTTGTTTGTTTACATTTATCTGTGTTTGTTTACATTTATCTGTGTTTACCGCCGAGCTGTGCAGACTGCGGCTGCTCTCCGACAAACAGCAGTAAGTATCGATCCAACACAGAGTCACTTCATGGATTAAATCGATCATATTTCACCAATAACGGCGGCTAACTGTTAGCATTGAGCTATCGGCCGTCCCTGCACTGTTAGCCTCCGAGCTAACGGTGTGCTAACGATGGAATTAGTAGGAAGCTAATACAGCCTCACGACGTGGGTATCAGCTGTATTAGCTTCTTATTAGCTTCATATTAGCTTCCTATTAGCTTCCTATTAGCTTCTTATTAGCTTCTTATTAGCTTCTTATTAGCTTCCTATTAGCTTCCTATTAGCTTCCAGTGCTGCCGCTCAGTTATTGAGTCTGTACTGTCGCTGTCCATGGTGCTAGCAGAGCTGTTAGCTAGCTGCACACACTGATGGGAGAGGATAAGTGACCTCTGCAGCGAGCTGGATGCTGTATGTTCAGTATAAGCGACCTCTGCAGCGAGCTGGAGGCTGTATGTTCAGTATAAGCGACCTCTGCAGCGAGCTGGAGGCTGTATGTTCAGTATAAGCGACCTCTGCAGCGAGCTGGAGGCTGTATGTTCAGTATAAGCGACCTCTGCAGCGAGCTGGAGGCTGTATGTTCAGTATAAGCGACCTCTGCAGCGAGCTGGATGCTGTATGTTCAGTATAAGCGACCTCTGCAGCGAGCTGGAGGCTGTATGTTCAGTATAGCGACCTCTGCAGCGAGCTGGAGGCTGTATGTTCAGTATAGCGACCTCTGCAGCGAGCTGGAGGCTGTATGTTCAGTATAAGCGACCTCTGGCGAGCTGGATGCTGTATGTTCAGTATAGCGACCTCTGCAGCGGCTGGAGGCTGTATGTTCAGTATAGCGACCTCTGCGCGAGCTGGAGGCTGTATGTTCAGTATAGCGACCTCTGCAGCGAGCTGGATGCTGTATGTTCAGTATAGCGACCTCTGCAGCGAGCTGGAGGCTGTATGTTCAGTATAGCGACCTCTGCAGCGAGCTGGATGCTGTATGTTCAGTATAAGCGACCTCTGCAGCAGCTGGATGCTGTATGTTCAGTATAGCGACCTCTGCGCAGCTGGAGGCTGTATGTTCAGTATAGCGACCTCTGCGCGAGCTGAGGCTGTATGTTCAGTATAAGCGACCTCTGCAGCGCTGGATGCTGTATGTTCAGTATAAGCGACCTCTGCAGCGAGCTGGATGCTGTATGTTCAGTATAAGCGACCTCTGCAGCGAGCTGGATGCTGTATGTTCAGTATAAGCGACCTCTGCAGCGAGCTGGAGGCTGTATGTTCAGTATAAGCGACCTCTGCAGCGAGCTGGATGCTGTATGTTCAGTATAAGCGACCTCTGCAGCGAGCTGGATGCTGTATGTTCAGTATAAGCGACCTCTGCAGCGAGCTGGAGGCTGTATGTTCAGTATAAGCGACCTCTGCAGCGAGCTGGAGGCTGTATGTTCAGTATAAGCGACCTCTGCAGCGAGCTGGAGGCTGTATGTTCAGTATAAGCGACCTCTGCAGCGAGCTGGAGGCTGTATGTTCAGTATAAGCGACCCCTGCAGCGAGCTGGATGCTGTATGTTCAGTATAAGCGACCTCTGCAGCGAGCTGGAGGCTGTATGTTCAGTATAAGCGACCTCTGCAGAGAGCTGGATGCTGTATGTTCAGTATAAGCGACCTCTGCAGAGAGCTGGATGCTGTATGTTCAGGATAAGCGACCTCTGCAGAGAGCTGGATGCTGTATGTTCAGTATAAGCGACCTCTGCAGCGAGCTGGATGTTATGAATTAGTGCTATACAAATAAAATTGAATTGAATTGAATTGAATTGAATTGGGGGTCTACAGTCGAGGGTCCCTGACACAACAAAAGTTTAGGAACCACTGCCCCTAACACTTCCTGTGTAAGTTGTACATTAGACCACGATAGAAAGATGGATGTAATTTAAACCAGGTGTGTTTCCTCCAGAAGATGAGTGACAGCGCTGACGACATCAAACCTGTGAGCTGCACCATCAAACCTCCGGTCTACCTGCAGATCGGAGACACCAAGACGGACCCGTCCCACTCCGGTGTTTGTGTCGTGGATGTCACCCTCCCCTTTGGAAAGCCCGTCAACGTAAGTTACAACCTGTCGTACATAAAGCTAATGCACAGTACCAGCGGTATCCACGGCAACCACCATATGATAATAATAATAATAATAATACCTTTTATTTGTATTGTGCTTGTTTACACAGTGCTTTACAGACATGCAAAAAAACCAATAATCATAAAATAAAGGTTAAATACCGTAAAACTTCCAATAAAAGCAGGGTCCCTAATAGACGCAGGTCTCATTTAAAAGCCTGGTGTGGCTACACTTTTTGACAAATAAACGCAGGTCTCCAATAGAGGCTTGGTCTGGATTTTATAGAAATTATCTCGATGTATAAAACCTCTTAAAACCCACCGGGTCACCGTTTCGATCTCCTACACAAATATAAATGTTTAAACTTCTGTCAATATGTACCTAATGAACATCGTTACATCAGTTAGATTCTCCACAATTCAATCGTTCACTATATTTTACACAAACTATCAACATTAAAGTATAAAGTTAATTCAACTTAATTAATTCAATTCAATTCAATTCAATTTTATTTGTATAGCGCCAATTCATAACAGAAGTTATCTCAGGACACTTTTCAAATAGAGCAGGTCTAGACCGAACTCTTTAAAACATTATTTACAGAGACCCAACAGTACCACCATGAGCAAGCACTTGGAGACAAGGGCAAGGAAACACTGCCTGTTAAAAGGCAGAAACCTAGGACAGATCCTCCGGCTCTAGGTGGGTGGTCGTCTGTCTCGACCAGTTGGGGTGAGAGAGAGAGAGAGAGAGAGAGAGAGAGAGAGAGACAGACAGACAGACAGAGAGACAGACAGACAGAGAGACAGACAGACAGACGCACAGCAACAACAGTAGCAACAACTACGCTAATAGTAGTGACTGATGATGATGACCATGAAGAAGACGATGACGACGACGACAACAACGATGGGGGACAATGAGCAGTGACAATAGTAATAATAGTAACTGTAGTAATAATATTATTATTATTATTATTATTATTATTATTATTATTATTATTATCAGTGATATTAGCAATGGCAATCTAGCAGGACCATGGCAGGAGGCTCCACCAGGATCGACGAGAACCTGCGAGACGAGAAAGCACAAGAACTCCGGGGAAGAAGTGAAGTTAGTAACATGCATTAATGGAACATGAATGAGTGCAGAAAGAGAGAGGAAGAGAGGAGCTCAGTGCACCATGGGAAATCCCCCGATAGTCTAGGCCTATAGCAGCATAACTAAGGGATGGTTCAGGACTCACCTGATCCAGCCCTAACTATAAGCTTTATCAAAGAGGAATGTCTTAAGCCTACTCTTGAATGTGGAGAGGGTGTCTGCCTCCCGAACCACAACTGGAAGCTGGTTCCACAGGAGAGGAGCTTGGTAACTGAAGGCTCTGGCTCCTGTTCTACTTTTAGAGACTATAGGAACCACAAGTAGCCCAGCATTCAGAGAACGTAGTGTTCTAGAGGGGTAATAGGGTACTATGAGCTCTTTAAGATATGAAGGGGCCTGACCATGAAGAGCTTTATAGGTGAGGAGGAGGATTTTAAATTCTATTCTACATTTTACAGGGAGCCCATGCAGAGAAGCTAGTACAGGAGAGATGTGATCTCTTTTTCTAGTTCCTGTCAGTACTCGTGCTGCAGCGTTCTGAATTAATTGGAGCGTTTTAATGGACTTATTGGGGCAACCTGATAATAAAGAGTTGCAGTAATCCAGCCTTGAAGTAACAAATGCATGGATTAGTTTTTCTGCATCTGTCTGTGATAGTATGTGTCTAATTTTTCTAATATTACGTGAATGAAAGAAGGCAGTCCTAGAGGTCTGCTTCATGTGGGAGTTAAATGACAAATCCTGATCAAAGATAACTCCAAGATTCCTGACAGTGGTGCTAGAGGCCAAGGTAATGCCATCTAGAGTAACTATATCTTTAGACAATGAGTCTCTAAGGTTTTTGGGGCCAAGAACAAGAATTTCGTTTTATTCTGAGTTTAACATCAGAAAATTGCAGGTCATCCAGGATTTTATGTCCTTAAGACATGTTTGTAATTTAGATAATTGATTAATTTCATCGGGCTTGATCGATACCAGTAACACAGTAAACAAGAGAAACGGAAAAAAAGAAAGCGATGAAGCATCATAATCATCATGTTAGTTGTCAAATTTGCTGAACAAAATCTCAAGAGAAGGAGCAGTTAGAGTTTAGTTTAGTTTTGTGCTAAAGAAATTGAAGGCCTGTCCCAAATAAAGACGGGGAGTTCAGTGATTCAAGCAAATCAACGCCCGGGCTATTATTAGAAGTTTTACGGTAATAAAAAATGGATCAATAAAAGCATGAATTAGTTTCTCTCGATCAACATAAATAAATATTTTTGATCTTTTTTCTGAGTTGGAGAAAGCAGGACTGTAAACTCTCTTTACCTGATCCTCAAAAAACACTCCTACGTTTCTGGTTGCAGGCTTTAAACTACATTAAAAATAAAGTTGTTTTCAGTGTTAAGAGTAATGAGTTAAAACAATTAAGGCAGGAATAATCCTGTCAATATTCATTAACACCAACATTTCATCACAAGCTGTAGAACCGGGCCAGAGGTCAATAATAATTACTTTCTCTTGATCAGTAAAATAATTACCTGATTTTTAAAATCTTTTTCTGAGTTGGAGGAAGCAGGACTGTAAACTCTCTTTACCTGATCCTCAACAATCCAACAGGCCACAGACTTTATATTATATATACTGTATAAAAATATAAAGCTAACTAAACTAAAACTATTTCAGTTCTCATATTCAGTCTCATCAATAAATGTTGCTCATGCTTCTTTATCATTTTGCCTGCAGTATGAAACCAGAGTTAACCTCAACTATTGATCCTATTCATACTACCTTTGTTTCCCAGTATAGATGTGAAATAAATATTATTAATAAAGGTCTAAAAAAGGTAAAAATCTTCTTTAACTGGGATAAAAGTGAATGTACTTTTGTTGGAGAATGCACTAAAGAAATATGTGTAATCTCTTCAGACTTCCTCGGCCTCCCAGCGTGAAAATAAACTCTTAAAAGTACAATTTTTAATTTTATTCAACATCCGTGTTTGTGAAGTCTCCCGCCGGCGCCGTCTTATAAAGCAGAAAACACACACACACACACACACACACACACACACACATACAAACACAACATTTGTTTAAAGAGAAAGCCGTGTTCCCGTCTTGAGAATGACTTTTCGGGGCACTGACCTACTTTTTAGCATTTAGTCCTAATTAAAAATCATTTTTAATGCAGAGCGACTCCTCATTAGCTCTGAGCTTCAAAGGCGTCTGCCCAGAGCGAGTTTATGCATGAAAGAATTATCTCCAGCGAGCTCCGTTCGATGGCTCCGGCTTTACGTTTGAATGCTAATACTGTGATTTAGCGGACTCAGTGTTTCTTAAACAAAAGGTTGAGACCCGCTGTGGACTGGAGGGAGGTTTCTTCTTAATGAGTCTGATTTATTGTACAAGACTTTATTTTTCAGATGAATTTCCGTCAGAAGATCACCACAGAACTACTATTTATTTATATTGAACGCAATATAAACAAAATGCAGCATTTATATGATCATATAATCTTCTTTTAAGTTGTTGAAAAGCTCAAAGAAATCATTTCTGAATCAGATCCTAACAGAAGTATGGTGACACAGCGTGGGGGCTTTTATAATATGTCTTTCAGATTGAGGAAATCACCTTTAAGAACTACTACACTGCCTATGTGACTGTGCGTCTGTTGAGGAGGAGCCCCGGGCAGGAGGTCCCTGCTAAGTGGAGCACCACCCTGAGAGACCTGCCGCTGATGGACAACCCCCACACCGAGGGAGGCTCTCAGGACTACTTCTCCATTCACAGGACGCAGGTAGGCCCGGAGGAACTAGCCGAAGTCGAGCAGCACAGAGCAGGAAGTCAGGTTTCAAAATAAAGTACCCAACATTACGTCACAAGCTGTGGAACCGGGGCAGAGGTCAGTAAGTCCGAGGAGATTCGACACCACAGACGACGAGTAGTTTATCTGTGGTTGAAGCACTGATATCAAGGAGAAAGACACTCTGAAGAGGCTGACAACTCATCTGGTTTCGATGGTCCAGTTGTGTTCAGCCGCAGTCGGATTGTTTAATGCAGACTCCCGTTGAATATTCCCATTTCCCAGCTTACTGTTCTACAGCTGAACTTCACACGTCCCACTGAGCATAACACCGGCTGCCAGAGCTTAGTGCTGTTTATTGTACCTCTCAGCTGGTGTTGGAGGAAAGCCTGTAAGAAAAGGCTCAATAAGCATTGTAGTGCTGATGTGTGGACCCAATACAAGAGATATTTTTCATGTATTCACTTTATTCCTTGTTTGTCTTTGCAAACCGAGCCAGATGGCAAGTGCTGATTTAATTTTTGTTTACTTGAGACGGTGCTCCCAGTCTGACATAGTTTAAATAGTGTAAATGATGTTTATTCACTGTTTATGGGTTATTATTTGTTATATTTAGTCTTCAGGGAGTGTACTGCAGTAAATGTCTGTTTGGGGACCTTTTAAAACTCTAAACTTTAGTTTGTCAGGAAAGTGCTTCTCACATATTTTTTCCCCGTTCAGGCTTTGTTTAGTTGTTCTGGGTGGGGGTGAGGGGGGGACTGCAGACTGTGGAACATCTTCAGACAGCTGTCACAGGTTTTAAAGAAAACAACAGAAGATGGAGTCAGAACTGCTGCGTCTGCCAACCAGCGACCTCTGACCCTGCTCGCTAAAAGCCTTCCATACAGTACAGGCTGCTGCTGTCCACATCGTCTCCTCGCTGCCACTGCAGGTTTACACCTGAGGCCGGATACATAAAGTCTATGTAGATTGACGACTTCTTTTCAACAGATTCATAACACCGCACATACGCCTGATTGTGTTTTATAAATCTCCGTCATTGTGGAAACAAACACACAGGAACAAGCTTCTTTTCCACTCACATAATCATCCATAAATAAATGGAGCTAGCAGCTGTTCCACTGACTCTTTATATTTACCTGGAAACTGTCATTACAGTAATATTAAATGAATTATGTGATTGATTAATGATTGATCTACATATTTAAACAGACTTTACAACGTGCTTCACTTTTCGGGATCAAGGGAGATGATGGTGAAGTTTATAAACTCTGTTTTACAGAACGATGTAACACACCTCCTCATTCACCCACAGTTCTTACAGCATATTCTTCTTTCATAAGAACCACTGTACGTATGGGAAGAGGCGTACATGATGTTTATCCATCTGGCTCCTGGTGTTAGAGTGCATCTCCACAGGAGTGATCACTTGTGATCTGATCTCACTTCCCCACTCTATATGCAAATAAACAGGACTCAGAACTCTGTCAGTGTTCATTATTACGGTCCTCTGGGCTGTTTGATACCAGTGAGGGACTCACTGCACACTGCCTCACTTACTGCTGAAGAAAATATGTATTTATTAAACAACATTTCTGTCCATACAACCTTGTTTATTTGGGACTCTGCTTTAATCATCCAATTAGAGGACATTAGTGGTTAGTCTGACAGGTGATCTCAAACTACTCAACTCATATACATCAATTATCGTCTGTTTTACTCTCAATGGGACCATCAGTTACTAAATGAACATCATGCTGTATGGAAGAAGACTGAAACTAGACACTGAGACCAGAAACTCATCAGGAAACTGTTTACTGAGCTCATAAATCAACTTCTCCATAAGACTCAATATTATCAGAGTGTAGCTGCCCCCTGCTGGCTGTTAGAGAGAATGCAGCTTTAACACATTAACAGTAATTTAGAGCAGTGGTTCCCAACATGGGAGTCTGTGTGTTCACAACAGCAACAACCAAAGAAAGTTCCATTCATGTTTAATGAAGTCGTCACTTATGGTGTTATTTGTTGATGTTTGTTCTTGTTGTTGTTGTTGTTTGTGCAGATGCAGGTGGAGCCGGATCACGTGGTGTCTGTTAGACTGATCCTGAGACAGCCGTCCTTTGCCTGGCTCACCTTCAGCCTGGAGGACATCAGAATATTCCCTCACATGGAGCCGGTTGGTGTTTGTTCAGAACTTCAGACATATAGAATTATAGTATTTTAGTGTGTGTGTCTTTGTAAAATGTTCATAACGCAGCTACAGCAGCAACGTCCTGTCCTTCACATCCTCCACATCTTCCACTGTTACCGCTGAGTGAAAAATTCAGTGTTTTTTAAAATCTTTTTTGCTGAAAACACGGATCGGACCACTCAGACTGAACGGAAACACTAAAGTTAGGAGTCGTAAAACCAAAGCAATGAGCTGAAAGACTCTTTAAAGCTCCTTAAAGAGAGCTTTAAAGAGTTTCTGAGTCAGGTGGTTATTCACAGACAGAAACAGAATAAAACTCACCAAACCTGTCTTTGTTTTAACCACAAACAACCGTAATATCACTATCACTGTCCACAAGACTCCAGAGACAAAAACACTCATTTAACCTTCAGATCATCGTAACTTCATTAAAGTGGACAGAAACAGAATCAAACTGAATAAAGGCGTCTCTGTTAGTGTTTCCAACAATCACCAACTCTGGTTTGGTGGAAATAAATCCTTAATTCACCGACGTAGATGATAAAAACAGCAGTTTCAGTCTCTACTCAGCTGGAAGGACACCGTGACTCCACAATATCTTTACAGAGATAAAAGTTATCAATGTAAATCTTGTAATGGCAAAGTGATCAGGAATCAGAAGAACAGAAATGGGATTTATTCTCCAGCTTTAAATTATTAAGTTATTAAGTTATTCTGGATCCAACCACCAGATGGCGCCACAGTCACACACTGTGGATTAAACTGTGCTGTTCTTCCTTCCAGGACCCAGAGAAGGAGGTTTCTGATTGGCTGTCTGACCTGACCCTGGTCGATCAACACCCTGACCTGGAGGTAAACATCTGCTGTTGTTTGTGTGTAAACGAGGTCATAATTACCTTAATCACACTGAGGTCACGTCAGCAGCATTTCAGGAGCCTGGAGAGAGTTAACAATGTGGCACTGCATATTGGTTTTAGACTTTTATTATTATTATTAGTCTTTCTTAAACAAGGAACATTAATCTCAATATGATTTCTATCAGATTTAGCAGTTGGCTGATTTCCACCTGCAGTCTCTGTGCAGATAGAAACAATCAATAAAACCATTCATGTTCATCATTACACAGTCTGTAAAGATCAGCACATTCATCCAGTGCAGCTATAACAATATACATATATAACAATCTGAGTAAATATAAATAAATAAACACTTTTATAATTAAATAAAAGTGTTTCTCTTCTAAAAATGTATTTTAGCTGCAAACTGTTCTCATATTGTAGATACAGTTTTTATTATTAACAGTTCCTGTACACGTTCGTAACGTCTCTACACATTAAGTAAGGGACTCCTCATCTATCAGTGAGTAAACTGACTGTATTCAACAATAATACAGAACAGCTGATCAACTGATCAATGAACCAGTACTCTATAACTGCAGGAAGTTTGATTATTTCCTGTGAATATTGATCAGAGATGAGTTTTACTGATATTTTTATACAATCTTCTGTCTGTATTATGTATTTATTTTAACAATCATACATTAATAATCTTATTTCTGACAGATTCAGTGTTAGTTGTTCTGATACGGTTTGTGTTTAGATATTAAATATTACATTGGAAATTTTAAGTAACACAAACTTACTTTTGTAAGTACAAATTTTGGTTAAGAACTTGAGTAAAATACAAATAAAATGACTAAAACTCGAATGTTTTTTAACTTTTCACTTTAAAAAAAAAAAAAAAAATGTATCTGTTTTTTATAGTGTAATCTAAACTTTAATTTAAATTAATCACATTTAACGAGTCCTTTGGTGAAGCTCCCCTGACTCACTTCTGTTTCCTGTCTCTAGGGCCTCCCAGACCCCCAGACCGTGTCCTCCAGCATCCAGCAGATGTGGGCTCTGACTGAGGTGATGCAGACCAACCAGACCACCGCCTCCATCGGACGATTTGACGTGAGTCTGAATCACAAACTGATCTGGTCCTCACTGCGGCGGGGTCCAGCAGTGTATTTATAATATTAGTAAATTTCTCTCAGTTTCAAGCTCAGACTGAACTGAGAGATAAACATTAAATCCTTCTGATTCATTCCCCCAACGTCCAGAGGGGTCGACTGATAAATAATTTATCACTACGTTGGTAAACACGGTCAGAAGATCCTCTGGATTCAGGTTTCAGGTTTCAGAGCTGATACATCTTTACCACAGTCTCTTTGGTTACTGTACTTTATTGGATTGAGTCTTTTTCACTTTGAGAGGACTTCAGACTGACGTTAGATTTTACTCTGGGTCATTAACAGTTTACTGTTCTCTGCTTATTAATTCCTGATGTTTAAAAGTTATTACTAACATCTGTGTGAGAGTTCAGAAGAGTTCGCACACGTCCTGGAAACACCTGGAAATGTAATAAAATGATCAAATATCCTGGAAATAATCTCAGTTGGTCTGAATGTATTTTAGCTCCTCCTCTTGATGATCAGATTTCTTGTTGCTATGGTTGATAAATACAATGATAAACTCCTGTAAAGTGTTAACCAGAGTGTGAACCCTCTCTGTGTTCCTCGTTGCTGCAGGTGGACGGATGCTACGATATCAACTTGCTCTCGCTGACGTAACGTCTCTTCGTGGAGGACTCGAGGAGCATAAAGGCCTGTAAAAATGTTTATTGTCTGCTTTGAGAAGAGCTGCGAAGAAAAACAAAGAACTATTATGTATTTGTTGCCTTTTTTACTTTAATTAATTTATTTTAACATTAATGTATGGAAGCCCTGAGAGGCAAGTGAGGAAAACCAATCTTGTTTTTCTCCACTTTCTGAGTTAGTTTTCTCTTCTGAGTTTATGAGTCAACCTGAAAGTTTTAATTCCACTAAACAAAGTAGATATAATGTGTTCACACTGTATTTTATCCACTGTTGTATTTTAATAAGTGTTAATCTGCTGTTCACCTGGAAGAAAAACATAAATTATTTTAAACCTTAAACACATTTAGCACTTTATTATATTCAGAAAAAATACCGAAACTTTTTTTCACATTTTCACGGATGAAAAAAATTAAGTTCTTATAAACACAGGAGAGAAAACTACACTTAATATAAATTAAAAATATTAAAATAACAGTCTCACTTGCCATTCAAGGCCTCCGTACTAATGAGAACTATCATGATTTAATTTATTTAACTTTATTTTAAAGCTTGTAAGTTTCATTTTAAAGGAAAATCCTGTCAATAAAAACACAGTATTAACTTCAGATTTTACTGATGCATTTATTTACTGAGCTGTTCGTAGCATTAGCGTCTAAAAACGTTGGTTTCATCCTATAATGAAAATATTATTGCATAAAAATTCAAAGTCAGCCCAACTGAACAAATACAACGAACCCACAATGCAACTTTCAGTTTTGAGCTGGGTGTCTCCAAAATAAAGTCTGTGTGCACAATGTGGACCTGAACGGCCCCTCACTGTAATACTGTACATAGTTATTATGTGAGATCAATATTAATCATTCACAGTACTCAAACAGACGTCTCCCTGCGATTGGCTGACTGCCTGCTGCCATTCATTGAGAACAGACTCTACCATTATCTTGACAGATATTGTAATATGATTCATGGTTAGTGGGAATGATCATTTCTGCATCACAAATAAAACATTTACTGAAAAACGATTTAAATCGTTATGATGTGACATTAGTTCTGATCTGTACTGAACAAACAAGATTTGTAGACCAGGGAGTCTCTATAAAACTACAGTCCTTCATTATAATGCTGTTTATCACATTTAACCTGATATTTGTAGCTATATATATAATATATATATATATATAGATATATGTAACTGTGCAGCTCTCTCATTTGAATATATAAACAAATACAGCAGGAAACCAGGGAAAGAGTTGTGTGTTGTGTCGTATGTAATGTTGGAACATTCGGTGGATAATTAATTCGGTGGTTAACTTTAGACCTTGAGAGGACATTTTTGGAAAACAAGATGAGGGTTAGGAGCTACGAGGTCCTCACAAGTACTGAAGCACCAATGTGTGTGAGTTTGACAGGAGCAGGAGTTTACTTTCTGCAAACATTACATTGTCTGCAGATCTTGTTACACGTCAATAAAAACTAATATTCCTGTCTTTGCTGTGAGCAGTTATCAAACATGAACTCCATCAGGGAATATGCTACATGAACTCTTTTTATCAGCTTCTGCTGGAAGAAAAATTAAACTCCCAGCGGCGCTTCTTAAAATATATCAACCGTGTTCTTAAAGTGCTGAACAATATCGCAGATTCTCCAGAGGTTCCTCGACAACTCCGACTGAAGGAAGGAGGACAAATGCTTTTTCAGAGAGGAGCCTTTACTCAAGTTGCAAACACTCACAGTGAATTTATGGTGGTATTATCACAGAAACATCCTCAACAAACTACTTTAATAGAATCAAACCCAGCAAATGTGTTTTAGTAGTCAAACGGGCCAGTAAACCAAGCAGCAACCTCAGTGGTAACAAAACACTGCAGTTCCTCTAACGGCCACTAGAGGCTAACTAACTCCTCCATCTAGTTCAAATCTAGAGTTAAAAAGCACCAAGATCTGAACAGTGGATGGTAACAATGTGGCTTCAGACTGGATAAACAGTCAATGTATGACAGCTTCTGGCAGACAACCACAACGCTGACGCAGGCACAAAGGGGATATGACGCCATCGACAGGCGACCAGTGAAACGCAGCGTTACCTGAATAAAATGTTCATTCCCTCGGTTTCATCTTCTCTCCATCCCAAGAACACAACTCAACAACATATAGAACATAAGTCTGGAGTTTATACACAGTTTAATACAGAAATGTTACATATAATAGCTTTAATTTAGCTTTCTTGCTCCACATTTCGTCCTTTGAGCTGCGTTGTGATAAAATGGGGGCTCATCCAGGTGCTCGGGCATCCTAATGAGCTGCTCTCCAGATCCCAGCAACCAAACAACCAAACAAACGAGTTGGCTGCCATCATGCTGACCTTTATTTCACTAAATGTAGATCATTTTTTATTACTTGCTTCCCCTATTAATGTTACTGATTGATAAAAACAGAGGGGTGGGGGCATGAACTAGAGTTGGGTGATTGGATGAATAAATCAGAAAATGATTCTGTTTATATTTAGTGTATTTTATTATATGATCTGGCTTTGTTTGTCTGTACTCGTTCACTTCCTGTATGGAAGCATCTGCAGTTTCATATTGAGGTTGTATCTCTTTATTGAATGTCCTAAAGGATCTCTCTCTCTTCATTTTCCAACATTTCTTCCATTTTATTTCCTTCTACAAGTTGTTTTTAGGGGGGAAGTTTTCCCTCATTTCATATTGCTTGTGCCTGTGTAAAGCCCTTTGAGACATTAAATGTGATATAAACTGTCCCTGACTTCGCTTCAGTCCACAGCTTCCAGCTGAGTTGCAAATCGGAGGGACGGTTGAGAAACGAGGGGAGTCGGAGAGAGAAGGAAATCAGAATTCAGACACACAAATCAGCAACTACAAAAAAACTGTGTAAACCACAAATCTGCAGAGCCAGCTGCCAGCTCGAGTGCACTCCACATTTAAATTCATACATCGGCCTCTTCCTGCACCCTGAATACTGATGCATTCGAGACATTTTTCAGAGAGCAGCGTGAATGCCGGAGACAGGAGGGGAGGAGGGACTCTGTGTTTATGTGTGAAACACAAAGAAAGACAATCAAACAGACAGAAGACGGGGGGATCGGCACCAGCGACGGCGCGGTGATGAATCTGTTTGTTTTTCTTTTTAATAGAGAACACAAATCTCCTTCAACCAACCCTCAAACCTCCATCCCTTCCTCCCTCTGTTCTCACAGACTCTCAGCCCTCTGCTCATCCACCAGGTGAGGTTCAGGTGTTAAACAATCCAGAATAACACAAGTTCATCTTCAAGGATCAAGGAAATGCAATATTGTACAATGTCTGCTGCTCTTTAACTTTCGTTTGTTCTGATAACTGTAGACTATTTCTGTCAAAGGTAACACGTGTTTCAGCAAAAAACAGATTAAAACAAAAACAGAGAGGTTTGAAGGAGCTAGCTTACCAGCTGCAGCATCTGAACGTGGAGCCGTTGCCATCATCAAAATCTTCCGATCCAGTCGATTTGAAAGATTTTGGTTTAAAGTCGAATCCAGTCAGACATCATTCAACAATGTTTTCAACAATAAAGCTAAAAAACATAAAAGATTAAAACAAAAAGTTTGAAGAAACTACGGACCACAAGATATACACACAACAGGAGCAGTCTTATTATTTCTGTCTACTTTTATGCTTCACTCTCGTCTTATATTACTTCCTCGAGTTTTACAACATACATTTTTGTCAACTGTCCAAATCCTCGAGGCGTCCTGGTGGCTCACCTGATGGAGCTGATCCCCAAAGTGTTGGGGCTGTGTGTCATCCTCTCTCTCTCCACCCTTCCTCCTCTCTTCAGCTGTCACTATCAATTAAAAACAATAAAAGCCCAAAAAATACTTTTAAAAGTCCTCATAAACACCTGAAGCAGGTTAACCACTGTTTCACTCTTTTGTTAAGACATTTAACTCTTAACCATTCATCTCTTTTCCTGCATTAACAATTATACATAAAGACTGTAATATTATACCTTTATCACTAATATTTTGTTGAACAGTGGCTGAAGTAAATGTTTTTTGGAATTAAATTTCACTGCATTGTAATTTATTCTCTGAACTTGGTGACCTGACCCTTCACTTCACAGTGGGTGTCTGAATTCCCAAATCCACATTGGAGAGACTCTAAAGCGTTGGAAGCATCAGGCAGATAAAATCCCAGCAGCAGCAGTTGTGTTGCTCTCATTTAGAGGATCTCTGTGCTCTATAGATCTTCTCCTGCTGGGTGAGTTGGTGTTATTGATGGTGGTCTGAAATTAAATGTGTTCTGTTGAGTCATGAAGCTTTGTCTCTCTCCAGCCGTCGCTATCTGTTTCTCTCCTCGCAGCGTTGCGTCACTCGGCACGTTGAGCGATGAGCCTCGGCGGCTTTTCACCCCGACACCATGAATCATTTATTCAGATGAGTGTGTGACAGCGGTGTCACAGCCTCGCTCTGATACCTGACAGCCAGAACACTTTATGCTGCTCTCGCTACCTCCAGACGAGAAGAGCGATTCTTTCAAAAACTCGGGAGAGATTGTTTGAGCTGAAAGTTTAGTTTTCTGTGTGGTCAGTTTCACGAGGGAACTATTTTCGTTCTGTGTCACTGAGCAGAAGGAAGCTCACAGAGAAGCTTGTGACAGCCGTAGACTGTATAATTAAAGTCTCTCTGACGTCACCCACTGGTTTCTGACTCTGCCGACTCCTTGCTAATCCAGAAACAGGCAAAGAGGTGGAGCTGAGACTGAAGCCTGGTTACCTGTAACTCAAAGCAACCACACTCATAATTATTCATAACTTTAATCCTTAATAGAATTTAAAAAACATGTTTATTTCTGCTGTAAAGTTGGACATTTTGATACGGGGCCTTATGGAGACCGACTCACTGCTGGAGCCAGCCTCTAGTGGCCGTTAGAAGAACTGCAGGCTTTCGTTACTTCAGTGTTGGATTGAGCACAGGATACAAACATCATCTCAGTGGAGCTGTAATGTTAGCTAGCTCACCTAGCACCAATGAGCTAGCTAACATCACCAAGCTAACATACAAAGTTATCTTAAAAAGCTTCCTGGGGGGTCGTGAGGCCTTCTTGGTGTATGAAAACATATCTCTATATCTCAGCATTTGATTCATTTCTGAAGAAAATGAAATGTAAATTTTAATTTTAAAGATATATTAGATAAAGTAGATGTTCAGCCTCATCCCACATTAGAAAACAGCCAAAGAGTTTCTCCTTTACAGATAATCTGTGATACAAATAATATTCTATAAACTCTCTGTAGGCGGTTCATCCGTATATAAAGTGGACAAATATTGTCATATATCCACAGAAATACATTCTCTTAGATTTGTTTTCACCTGCAGGAGACAAATATCACTTTGCATTATTTTCTGTTTTTTCCTCACTAAATCGTTTCTATCCCAGTTTGACGTTTTATAGGATTTATGTTTTTTAACAGGAGTTTCTCTATTTTAGATGTGCTAATAACACACTGCAGCAAACATTTGTTTCTGAAGCACTTAGTGTACCACAGCTTGCTGCCGAGGCTAAGTAACACATAATTAAAATGACGAACGTAATGATGTTGTCTTCCTTCG